GGCGGTGCTCGTTGCGGCGGAGGGTTTACACGGCCCTGTGGGAAGACGGGGCAACGTCGACGTTACGTGAATAAGCGTTCGTAAATTCATAACGAAGCGGAGAGTGGTTTAGAAAGCGGCCCGCGCCGCGCCGGTGCTGCACAAAAACCATATAACCGCTCGCGAGCTTGGCACCGCTGAGATTCGTTTGCCGTTCGTGGGGGAACCGATCGAACCGTATAACCCTATCGCCTTTATGTGTCCCGCGGTGAACAGAGGTAGGGGAATGCGTAGGAAATGATAAGCAACGGTAACTTTCTCTTTAGTAAAAATTGCAACGTCATCGAAATCGTTATATACTTTATCGAATGAATAGTTTCGGTGATTTGTAAACGGTCTGTAGTTCGTAGGAACCTTGGAGCAGAGATGGGCAGAATTTTATTCGAATAATACACAGGGAAAAGCAGCAGTATCTAAGGGTGTCGTCCTGAGCTTTAAACAGTTAATGAGATTAAATAATTGTTCAAGAAATGTCGATTCATTCATAAAGATGTATTATTTTATTATAAAAATTGAAATTTCCACGTTTAAACAATTGAAAATGAGAAAATATTTTTTTTATCCTTTATTCGTTATTCGAAACTTTTTATCTGGATGAGTTTGCCCATCTCTGCCTTGGGGACTTAACGTCATCGAAATCGTTAGATAGTTCATCGAATGAATGGATTGAGTGATTTGTAAACGGCCTGTACCTACTTATCGTACCTCGAAGATTGAACTATCTTATGGACTGCGGGTTTTATGCATTTATAGACTACAGGGCTGTTTGATGTACAATAAGAGACAAAACTTTCATCAAATGCAACGGGGTTTCTGTTTTCTACAGAAAAAGTAGGAAATGATAAGCACCGGTAACTTTCTCTTTAATATAAAATTAAAATAAGCAGATCGAGTGATTTGCAAATGTCCTGTACTTCATCGTGCCTTGTAGATATAAGTATCTCAGAGACTGCGGATTTTATACATTTATAGACCTAGAAAACTTTCATTAGGTGCAACGAGGTTTCTACTTTATACGGAACCCAATAAGACACTTAACACGTTGAGTGACACGATAATTTCGCCTGAATTTCCATTCAGGCTGCATGGGCCACCCATGATACACGTTACTGCATTGTTTATATATGTTGATAAGATGTGATTTATAACATTTATGAGGCAACAGAATTAATTATAAAAACGAAACATATACACTTATTTAAATAATATATAATTAAAGAGACACATAGCGATGTTTAATGTTAAAATAGGCTGAATGTTAGTACTCTTCATCTTCTAATTCAATGTTGGTTCTTGCAAGGACAATTTATATAAACTTTTTATAGTGATATTGGTATCGACTGACCGGTCTATTGACAAATCTAATTTTTATTCGCTTCACTTATCGAACGTTATAACTCTGGCCTTACAAACAATAAGATACGACATATGAAACGCAAAAAAAGGAAAACAATTGATAAAGTCAATAGCAGTAAGATACCTCAGAAGTCGAAAATATATCATTACGCAGTGTAGTTCATCGAGGGCCCACGGTATGATAATTGTACTGTACATCATAATTACGTCCCAATGAAAAGATATGAAATATTTCATGATAATTTTTCTTATTATAGAAAAATTCACTAACAGCCTGAGTGGCCCCAGAAAGTAACCCCTACATTTGCTCTGGCCTTTATGAATTATTTTGGAGCTTTTTCTAGCAATTCTGCTAAAAAATCTGCAGTCTACTTACAAATATATATATATACATTCGCGGCCTAAGTAATGAACGTGATCTAAGAGAAAATGCGTGGATCTAGCTGTAACACGAATACTCAAGACGTGAATTGATAATGATCTTTAAATGAAAAAATAATTTTAACCTTTTTAAAAACAGAGGATAAGTCACTCCTTGTTCCGTACATCAGTGTTTCGTCTTCTGATACTGCTCTATTCAATTTGTTTATCTGAAGATTATTCCAGTTGACTGTATTATATTCGGCCCATGTAAACAAGACTGCCATTTATTTTTATCTGAACGCTCCACAGGGGTTACAGAAATACAGACCGAAATTACTCACCACAATTATCATTAAACAGCGGATGATTATACGAATTCGTACACTTTCATGCACCAAAACACCTGGAATTTTTACAACAGATCGTGAAGAAAGTAATAAAGAAATTTTCCGAAATATCAGTAAGATTTTTAATCGTGTTGTGTTCTGCAAATTCGAGTACAATGTGACGTATACAGGGCGAACCACGAATCGTGATCAGTAGGGATTACTCTGTTATTAGCAGTCCGATCGAAAATGTTTTTATCAGGTATAGCATGGTTTCAAGAGAGCTTTAACGTGATTATAGCAAACTTTTTGTTAACTCTTTTTTTTCCATGATTTTTCAAGGTCACCTTCAAGTTTTTGCAAATATGCCTATAATTTTTGTACGCCTATCTGTTAGAGGATTTCAAGACAAATTCGGTAAATATCATAACAACTTTTACCTTAATTTTTTAATTAAACATATTATATTAATTATTATATAAAATAATAATAAATTATTAAAATTGACAAAAACTTTGCTATAATCACGTTAAAGCTCTCTTGAAACCATGCTATACCTGATAAAACCATTTTCGATCGGACTGCTAATAACAGAGTAATCTCTATTGATCATGATTCGTGGTTCACCCTGTATAGAATCCAATACCGTCGTCGTATAAAGTGACTAAATATCGTTCAAATTGGAGTCGGGAATCTTTTGCTAACCGTCCACGCGGAACAACTCGGTAGGAAACCCGGTACCACATCGAAGATTTAGAATTACCCTAGAATGCAGGTCAGCCGATCCGCCTGCATTGGGTAATCCTTGGTTTCCAGCATTGCTCAACGGCTGCTTAGAAGTCGGTTGGCCGACTCAGTTTCGTATCCGTGCAAAAATTCATGGCATCATAATTAAGTGGCACGCGAGTTGTCGTTGTTAAATTCTGCGACATTCGTCAGCCGCGAAATCCGGAAAGTCGACGACGCTCGAGTTGCCGTTTTTCCGGTCAAGGCAATGGGCAGCACATACGCTTCACGCGGGACGCTAAAGAACGCTCATCTTCTTGAGACGTAGCGGTTCAAGGAAATATTTGTACACTCGGGATTTTTTTTTTATCACAAACATATTACAGCGGGAAAAATTTAAACGGTAATCGATAGATTATTTAAAATTTCATGATATTTATAATATACTCTAAACGTTTCTGGGATTATTTTTAGAGTGTGTCTGTTTGTAAACAATTCTTCTAACCGCTATACACATTTCCTCGAGGTTCAGGGAAAAACACGGTCACAAATAGATTGTTTTTTGGTGTAAAAAGATACAGTAGAAAAGAAGTCAACCTCGTGGTTAGTTTGAAAGAATATAGCTTGTCGATCAAGAAATGTAATAATAATAACAACGTCGTTTTACACGTCGAAAAGGATCATACGAAGAATGAAAACATGCAGAAGAAAAGAATGCTTAAAGGACGAGATACAGCCATAGGCTGGTATAAAAACCTAACTCGCATCTGTTTGGCTTCTGCGAGACTCGTTTGAAGAACGTAACGCGGACCAATCCAGGCTTAACTGGTTACATAGCAGAGCATTAACGAAAATGGAAAGACAGCTCATCAGTGTAAGTTTTAACTGATTTATTGAAAAGACGTGTCGTGAATATAATGCAAATAATAAGACTAGTAGAAAAATCTAGATACATATACATGGAGTAAAAATGTGGTCAATGTAGCTGCTTTTTTAAATTTCACGATAATGATGCATTTGGCAATCACACAGACAACGGTGTTAGAATACATTTGGACCCCTGATATGATTTCACTTGTAAAAATATTTCGATCTGGAATGACTAATTTCAACTTACTTTTTCTGTAACGGTAGTTCTGTCAATAGGACCATTTCTAAAGCTGTCAAGTGGGAAAGTTGTATAGTGGCATCTTATAGCTGGGTCAAAAAAATGCTGCAGAAAATATTGAGTGCGAAATCGGTGAAAGTTTCAAGCTCCGTGTAGAAAATAAACACAAGACGCGATTGAAAACGGAGCGCAAGACGCTACACGCGTTCTTAGAAACCAGAACAGCTTGTAGAATTGTAAAAGTAGTGCAAAATGAATTCTATGAGAAAGAACGACAAAGGAATAACAGATTGCGAGTACACGTCACAGTTTGTTTTGCATGTGTTTGAAAATCCAATTTCTAGGAGTGTTTGTATACAGTTGATTTATAGTATAAACTACTGTGGTAAATTTGTTGGTCCATCAAAGAAAGAGTAATGTTTTGTTCTTTAGAATGCCGCCATTTTGTTAATTATAAAATTTTGTAATTTCCACGCGTCATACTGCCAAAGACCTGTCATAGACCACAACGAATTTCAGTTTTCCGTGGATTTAATAGGAAAATTGTGGGAACGACGCAATGCTACTTTAATTTTAACCGATCCAATTGTCCTGTATATACTATGTCACATATACACTGTACGTACAAAACAAAAATTCTTCCTAACAGTATATGCCTTAACGAAGCGAGATACAACTGCAGAATTCTATATAATATTCAGTCTAGAAAGAACTCCTGAAAACTATTCAATTTTTTTCCCGAATTTCGCAGCAGCAGCCCATTCAACGAACGCAAAATATGTAAATAATTCTTCGCGTTGTGTACAGTTACGACGTGCTGTCAGCGTTACATTTAAAAAACGAAAGTCACAGGTATGTTTGGAGAACATTCGGTTACGGTAGCCAGCAACTTTCAAATTTATACAACAAATAAACACATCGTCGAAAGAGAAATCAGAAACCTAACCAACAAAATGGAAAGCATACGCGTTCGCATTATTCCCACACGAGGAAAAAAGAAAGAACTAGAGAGCACAAAGGAGTCGACTCTTGGACGAGGTTCCCGGAACGAGCGAAATCTAAGAATAATTGCGATAACTTACCTTGAAGTATCCTCCTTGGTAGAGCGTATCCGGAGGGCCGAAGATAGCCACTTCCCACTCAAACATGTTGTCCTCGTTAACGAGTTTCACGCGGAATCCCTCGACGGGTTCCTCTTGAAGGCTCCTATATTCGAGGGCGAGCGCCCTGAGCGCGCTGCTGGTCGGCTGTGCCATTATTTTCCCTTCTGGGACTCGAGTCGCAGCCTGTTCCAGAAAACGGAACGTCCAAAACCTCCTGAAGTGGTAGCACGGAACACCACAACGGTATGGACGCCTTTGCGAACACTGCTTCTTCTCGGGTGAATCAATTTCCAACGGGTCTCCACCGGGTAATTCGAAGCCTCCACCGTGGTTCCCTTTTCCGTGCCTCGACGCGCCGTGATACTTCACACGCGACAGAACGTTCCCTACGTTGATACAGTACCGTTTCGCACACGAGATAAACAAAGAAATACGGTTGGAGCTACGAATTGTGAAGTGTCCCTGCAGTCAACAATACTCCATTCCCGATGCACGCAACTCTAACAAAACAGCTGACGTACCTACTGCGTCAGCGTTGCCCTCCACGCATGCGCATTAGAATTCTCCCCCTATTTTTCCCTTTAATTCTTGCGATGTTTCTGTGAAAATTAGAGGGGAACAATTCAATCGTTATGATCAATATACAGTAATGTTTTCCTTTTCCTGTATCCCGGTTAACGATTTAACGTTTTAAACGATTTGGTATTTAACTTTGTTAAATTTCTAGACTTCCTGTTTCCTGATTGGAAAGCAGGCCCCCAATCACGTGACGTGGCGGGGAAAGGGTGTTTATACATCGGACTCGATTTTGTGCTTCTAAAAATGAACGTTCATTGAAATTGTCGTGACCGTGCCAACGGCAATGACCAATCGGAGGAAGTTACGATGTCGCGTGTTTTTTATTGGAGCGAATTGGACAAAAATAGTTTACTAAGGATTCGTTGTTTAATACTAATTTATATATGAAATTGTTGACGACACGCAATTAAGCGATGTATTTCCATAAATACGCATACTCATGTTTCTAGGCCGTATTTCAAAATTTGGGGGATAAAATAAAAATTTACAATATTTTACAAATTACTACATTAGTGACAATTATTGTTTCAGTTGACCTTGTCGACTTGCCGACGTAGGATGACATTCAAAATCCTACATATTATACCGGTTTTGAAGATTCTTCCCTCCTATCCTTCTCTCGCATTATCTCGCATTTATAAGGAGAACTCAGCGAGATAGATCCATTTTTTCCGGAACTTCTGTACAGTGCGTGAAGTTTAATTTTTGTCAGCTTGACAAGTGTCTTGTTAAAGTTTTGTTTTATTAGATAAAAATGTCGGCTTCAAATGTGTTAGCCATTGATTCAGAGGCTATGAAAGTCTTTGGCTTTTGGGGCGGTATACTTGCTCTAAAATTATTCGCAATGGTGGTCTTAACCGCACGTTATAGATTTCAGAAAAAGGTACAGTCATTATAACGCATAATAATTTTCATTTAAATATTATGTATGAATTAAAAATATTATAATTTCCATATTTTTACAGGTGTTTATAAATCCTGAAGATGCTGCAGGCATAAAAGGAGCTAAAATTACTAATGCCGATCCAGATGTTGAACGTGTACGCAGAGCACATTTAAATGATTTAGAAAATATTCCTATTTGGTATATAGTTACCCTTCTGTGGTTAACTACTGGACCTTCTACATGGTTGGCTGGAATTTTAATCAAATCCTTTGTAATTGCTAGGATTGTTCATACGTTAGTATACGCTGTTTATCCAATGCAACCATACAGAGCATTGGCCTTTTTTGTTGGATTGGGTATTACAATCTACCAAGCAATTAGTACTATGCTCTATTATTCATAATTTGTAATATTATTAGAAACATTAGGTTTTGGTTATTTTTTTGATATTTTACTTGTTATTTGAAAATGACAAAGACAAATAGAAGTAAATATTTTTGTACAATTTTATTTTACCTTCCCTATAAAGATAATGTTACCAGATAGAGGCAAGAAACTAACATTTTATATGAATATAATAACAGAGTTTTAAGAAATATTTTTGTACAATATTTTTATATTTAATGTAAAGATTTTTCTGAGAACAAAGCTAATTTATATGAATTTTTGGATAATGAAGAAATATATGTTCACAAATGTAATTGTTGGATATTGAATAAATATATGTTTAAAAATTTCAGTATTAAATATATTTATAAAACCTCCTGTAAAATTTGCATGATATTACATGATCACTTGACATTCTTATCTACTATCATTTCCATGTAGAAAACCAATCACAGATAACTATTGATAACATTGATTACATACATGGTTACTTTATCATACAGTTTTATCTGTCTATGAATAACAGTGTTGGAAAAGATTACATAAAACATAGAAAACAATTTATTATTCTGCTTCTTGCAATGCAAATGTGAATTTCAATATAATTTATTTTATATTCTCTATATATGAGTATAGTGGCAATCATGAATTATAAGTGCTTGTTTTATTATAATTACTAGTCTTCTAAAGGAGTCCCAAGACTTAAAGTTTTTCTATCTTTGATACTACCTCTTCTGTCTTAAATAGTAAACTTACATTGCACAATATCTTCAAAAAGTGTACAATAAATATGAAAAAGACATATTTCTTGGAATTTATAATGAAAAATTATAAAGATTCTGAGTCTAGCTATGAGGTATTTTTTAGGAGATATTGTTTGTGTACTTCTATGTATCTTCTATCTAAGTATTTCAAGTTGCGTAAGGTTACATACATGAGTCAGCATCTTTTTTATGAATTTAATCAGGAATGTAATAGAATGTAAAATGCAATGACTTCATAGATTTCCTTTTACAGGTTGAACAAGAACACGTAAGTTTTTGTAAGTTTTACTAATTACACTTTCTTATTGTAAATACAACTACTAACAACTACTAACTTCCATTGACTAGTTGCCAACTAGAAATTACTATTTTATGTTTTAGGCTAGACATATGAACAAGGAGCAGACACATTGCAAACACAATAAGTTTTACATTACACGTGTCTGGTCAGGCACCACATATTCAATAAAAATTATGAAGTAGAATTATGCATTGTATAAATGAATGTGGAAGTAATTTAACATGTGTTGCTCTAAAGGACATGGACTATTTAAATATGGTTCTTCAAGATACTTTCAGATATGTACATATTTGAATAAATATATTTTATGGGCCTAGAAGTGTCCACAGTAATTTATATATATGTAAATTGTTACATTTACAGAAGTTTTATAAAAATATACAACTTTTCCTGAAATTGTTAGGTAAACAACAAAACTGTATGTTGGGTAAAACTGGTATTATTGACCAAGGATTTAAACATTATGATATCAGCATATGTTATACATTATAACCAACAACACCACCTGAACCCTGAAGTTTTTACCCACAAAGGTTTTATGACGAAGTAAAGGCAATTAAACCAAATATGGTGTATTTATAATACATTTTGGTAAGAGACCTAGGAATTATATAGGTGAAGTTGTTTTCTAGGTAATACCATATCACTTTACTTCACAGTTTTCCCTTTACATTTTATATCACAGGTAAACAGTTTAAATATATAATAAGAATAACAGAACTGATTCTCATGTCTATAAATGGAACTCAGTTAAAATTTGACTAATTAGAACATTAAATATTAACGAAACCTAAAAGTACAGGATTCATACAGTTATATCTAATTGAAAATGTGTTCAGAAAGAGCAATGGTAACCGGTTCTATCATAATTACATTGGTCGACAACTACATTTTTTAGCCATGCTGGTACGATTGCAGTACAATGATGCAGACATAGCAAAGAGTATTGTGAAAGTAAGAAGGAATTGTAGATATGTATGTACTTACTATATTTTATAAAAGTATCTGATATTCACAGGCTGAACTAACCTCTTTTTAATAAGCACAATTCGAAAAGCACGTTTATGAAACTTTCGATAGGGAATCTTTCACGTCAACCTCGAATATTGGCGCGCAAACAGGCGCCCTGTGTAAACGAATTGCGCATGTGCAGATGGTGTTGTGCGCGGTCGCCATGACGACGACGTCTCGACGCCAATGGGCGCGGGAACGTCAGACGTCGCGATGTTTCTGTGAGGTGCGAACCGCCGTCGGTGCAACGGCGTCTCGCCGTCACCGAATATGCACCAAACAATCCGATCGGTTTTTTATCGCGAAAGAAACACTTCGTATCAACTCCTTTATTTGCGGCGATCGGTGCTGTCATGTCGCGTTCCGGGAATGATTTGAGGGCCGCTGTCATTTCGCTTGAATTCGATCATCGATGCGTTATGTACAAACGTCGGTAGAACAACATACAAGTAAGTCATTGAAACATTTCTCTGATATTAATTATTAATCATTCTATGCAACCCACGTGGACATTTTTGTTTCTTACCTCTTTTTATTCTCCTTCTATATTATTTACTGTTCTTATGTAACAGTGTGACACTACTTTGTGTTATTATTAATATATCACCTATGTTTGCAGTAGGCTCTGTACGTTGACAGACATTATTATTATTGCATTACCACGTTATTATACCGATCTGACATATAGAGAAAAACGGATAGTTGCAAAGACTGTGTGAATAGCTTAGTCATTCGTAATAATCAAGAATTCAATCGAAACGAAAAATTGAAATATAAGTCTGATTTATTTCGAAAGTCTAAGTAAGAAAACTATAATTTTCGCATTCGCCGGCAATCTATAAATAGGACAGCCAGTATTTCCTTTCATTTATAGTGTTCGATATTAATACACGAGAGTCCAAGAATGCGATTCACAAGTTGTCCTTCGTAGTTTCCAACCTCTTAAGCTTCACGCGCAATGCACGAGATAAGTTGAATGACTGAGGAATGCAAAGTAAATTCCTGTTTTCCTTTGACTCCGGCGTAAAAGTACTGGTTTCTTTGTGCGTGCCGCATTAAATCAGACATGGGCCTGTGTTTGATCCTTTCTCCAGAAAGTGTGTTTCCCTCGCAGCACAGAGGTTATTTCTTTTTTCCATTGCAATGTATTTAAAATTGAAGGAAGTTTCTCATGCACGACGATTCCTCCGAATCAGAGCAGAAATTCTCTAACGAAACACGAAAAATTGAAAACTCTTTTTACAACGCTGCCGTTAAACATTTATTAAAATGGAAAAGCAATTAACTTGCCCCGAAGCAACCGCGAGGCTTTCATAGCGCTAATGTCAATGCCGCGTGCTTGACAGCGATGCAATAACGGTCGCCGCCTTTCAGGGGCTTTACACACTGCAATTTTCCATAACCGTAACCGTTCTCCTTTAAAGACCTTAGGCGTTCAATAGAGCATCGATCAATCATGATTAACGTAATTAATTATTCTCACGAGAAAAACAAAGATCGAAGGTGTAGCCACTGTATCGATGCCCGAGAAGTAATAACCGGTAGTTGTAGCGTGACCCGTAATTATTCGTTAAATACTACGATATTACACGAGAAAATACATTCTAGACGTAAGATAGTAATAAACTTTCGATGGAATGATCATGATACCGTGTTTCCTCGAAACGCATTGCGTTGTACCTTGAAAATAGTCGGTGTACATCTACGCGATAACTGTTGATCGATATTTATCGTAGTTGATCCTGCCATTCATCGCATTCTAGTAGCGTGAGTTACGTTGGTACATCTATCATACCTTTTTTCTAAAACGTAAAGGCTTCTGCAGTTAACTGCAAAAACTTCTGCAGTTCTCAGTAGCATTACTCATACAGTTCTTTCTACTATTCGACAACTAAACAGTGTGTAGGTTCCTCTATATAAAATTGGTGCGAATTGTTTGTCATTATTATACAAATCTTTACCTTATGCGGAGTTGTTTCTATATCATATGTTTAAATTTCTAGCAATAATTCTACTATAATTCAATGTTAACATTTGCATTTGTGCACTTTAAGTCTAATGTCAAAGGTTGCGTTCCATTACTTATTCAACGTTGAAAGGTCTGCCTCCATACAGTTCAATTCAGTATTGAAATTTATATTTTACTTAAGATTTACTTCAAGCTCAAAACTCTTTTCTGGATAACTTGAATTTGGAATTAAATTTTCCCTTTTTACCAGTTTTTGTTATAAACGAAATTAAAAAAATATCTCTAAGGTTTCAAGGTGTTCAACACAAATTAACTTTCGCACGACGGACATGAAACCTGGGTCACACGTGACCAACACTAGATATTACATAAATTATACAATAATATTATATCCATTTACTACAACTTATCAAAAATAATACAAAATTTGAATTTTCACACTGAACCCTTTATGCCTTGAATGATTTATTATGCCACATAATTAAATAATTAATTACCACTGCATACAACCTTCAGGCTGATATAACAGGTTATAAACGCTAATTAAGTTAATGACTCCAAATAGACTTACACAAGCAGAAAGGGTTAATAACCGCCTTGATTAATCGAAATTAGTTCAAAACAAGCAACTTCATTTACAACCGTGTTTTACCAAGTAACTTAAACCTTTTGCACCAACCCAACAGTACGTTCCAGTAGCCAGCAATTAGACACGATTTGCTCCCTTTATCACGCAGAGTTCCGAAACAAAAAAAAGAAAAAAACGATGCATCACATGCACCTATCCTCTAAGTAGATAGCAATGCGGCTGGGGCTCTTTCAGTATCGCGTACAAGCACCTCTGAGCTGTTTCATCAATACTCTCTATAGTAACCGTATCTGCAGTGGCAAAGACATAGTATTCGCGGGGTGCACAGGCGCGATCACCGTTGTTACAAGGCTCTCGAATGGAATCCAGCGCAAACAAGACGGGCCACGCTTGCTTTTGTCACGCGAGCGGC